ATGTCTTGCATATTGGTAATTGTCACATCATTTTATTATATAATTTATTACACGACGTAATAAATAATATATTAAATGGATGCGACAATTACCCAAATGCAAGATATTTGACAACACTGAATCTGCGCGTGGATTATTCCAGAATACGATTTCCTAATTTGGGGGATGTTTAAACGGGCTTATCGTTATCATGATTTATTTTTCCATTTTCATCGGTTTTTTTTTTTGCATCGCATGAATTGTATACAGCCCTTAATTTGGTATATTGATATCTCCTGACCGAACTTCGATTGACATTCCAGCATTCGAGTAAACCAGATAAATGTGTCAATGCGTGAAGAAGGATTTTATCTCTTTATGATGTAGGTGCAATAAAATTCTGTTTGCCAATGACAACTTGTAAAGCATAAATTTATAATTCGAATTAAGACTTGATTTACTACGACTTTAAGGATTGTACAAAATGTAAATCGCAAGATACTCATTCGAACTTAAATATTATGTATGAAATTAAAAGTTTATCAAAGTTGTAATGGAATTATCATTTGACGTGTTTTGTGTTGCAACTTCTTTAAGTCGCATACATTAAAAAAGTAATTTTATTGCCTTGAAATGCTACACTGTTTAATAAGCCTCGTGAGTCATAGCTAATTTAATCCATATATTATTAGGCATAATCCCCGTTCACTCTATTAAGATCACGGGAAGATTATTATTACAAATACACGTGAATCTAGCTAGCAGATTAAATTCGACTTAAAAAGGATGCATCATAAAATATCAAAGGTTTAAAAAATACCAAATAAAGCATCATAGAATCAAAAGACTACACAAAAAATACCCAAAGAAGTACTATAGAATGGCGAAGATCGTACCAAAGAACGCCAAAGAATACATATATAGTACTGGTGTTGTCATTTGCATGCTTTGGACATGAGTTCATACATTTTAATAAAAATAAACTAGATTTTACTCAAAATTATATTATGATAACCTATTAGGACACTCTAATGTTCATGTTTAGAACAAAACAGAATATATAATCATAATGATAAAATTTTAAATATTCGAGAGTTGAACGTGAACGTGATTGTGGACAACCTTTGGACATTAAAAATGTACAATTGCTTCCTGCTATACAATTAAGTAAAATAAAATATACGTCGAAAACGGTGACAAATATGAGAGTCGTGTGAAAAAGGTAACATCCGATAAAATTGAATTGGTCATGTCTGCTGACTGTTCTCATGGTGAAAATTTGTAATCCATCCCCTGCTTTGGTGACATCACCTGGGTGCGAATTAACAAAGATTTGCACTGACGCTAGAATATATATATTAATCATTTACATTCAATTTGACGATACTTTCCGTAGGTACTATACGTGAATGTTCTACAAAATTTCCCTGCAAGTAATTCGTGTAATCTTATATCTTATTTTGATTATCCCATTATAAATTCTTTCCTTTTGTCCTAGATTGTTTACAACGATGTCCATGGCACATTCTCTTCTTTACCTCTTTCCTGAGAGTCAAGACTTAAATCAATATTAAAAAAAGATGCCTATGAGTTCTTTACCCGTAGATTGTGTTACGATAATATTAGAGAACTTACGATATGACCCTGGTTGTCTTTTTTCCTGTCTTTTGATCAATCGTAGTTGGTGTCGAGTAACCGTTCCGATTTTGTGGAGTGATCCTTTTAGTATTTTTGGCGAAAAATTCGGGCGAAACATTATAAGAAGTTATCTTATCTGTTTAGATTACGAAAATAAGTTAAATTTAATTAAAAATGGAATCAATATTTCCCTCTCCGAAAACCCGCTCTTTGGATATCATAAATACTTACAGTTTTTGGAATATGAATTATTAAATCACTTGGTTCGGTCTTGGATGATAGAGAATGAGCATTTTAAGTATTTTGACATCACCCTTTATGAAGAAAGCTCCGTTTCAAAACATCAATTTTGTCTAATAATGTCTATATTGTGCAAGCTTTTTATGGAAAATTGTTCAATCAAGTCTTTTCGCTTGTCAAAATCATGGAGACATCTTGATATACCTGATATATCAATGTTCTCATCAGGCAATCTTGGTTTGACTAAAACTCGTGAACTAGAAATTTGTTTCACAGAGGATGAATCTATAATGCCAAATACCGCAAAACTTTTAAGGCTTCTGTCTTCCTTGTGCACTGAGCTCCGTAGTTTATCGATAATTTTACCAATGACCACAGAATTGAGAGATATGAGTGAATTTTATGATTTGTTTAAGGCACAACGAAATCTTAAAAGGTTTAAATTATGTTGGTCTCGTCAGATTTTTGATAATTTTCTCAGAGTAATGAATTCTCAAGTTAATCCTCAAATTAATACCACCTTGACCAGTCTTCAATTACATAGAATTAAATTGGATAATCTTTCTCTAGATGCTTTAGAATTCTGCAGTTGCCTAAAAACATTCAAAATCATAAACCTTTGTGAGGATCTTACATTAACCCCACAATGTCTTTCTTCCTCATTTGTTTATTTTTTCAAATCTTTTTACTTTTGGTCAAATTGTAATATGTCCGCTCAATCAACCGCGGCTATTATTAAAAAAGCTGGTCGGTCATTGCAAAAGTTACATTTAGATCTTATCACAAGTGATACAGTCGATGCCATTCTTAATTATTGTCCAAATATTTCTATTTTGAAGATTTACAACAAGGACGATAATGATAATATTAATCTTTGCAAGTTATTGAGCGGTATGAAAGGAATGAAATTGAAAAAACTTGACTTGGTTTTTAACTCTGCATTTACATCAAAACTTGGTCGGATATTACCACTTTCTTTGGATTCTTTGACGCTCCTTGATGTCAATCCTACCTTTTACAAATTTCTTGAAGAGTTTTTAAATGGTATCCAGGCTCAACTATCAAGTTTAACAATTTCGTTTCTCGGAAAGTGCTTACCTGAAATTTTAAAAGTGATTCGAGACTATGTCAAGTCAAAGAATGTATTGAAAACTCTTAATTTTACATCACATCCTCTTAGGTATATGTGTGAGAAAGAACTAAATGACATATTGGTCATGAAACAGGAGCTTCATGAAAATGTGAATGTGTTGCTTGATTATTCCAAGGATTATTATAATCTTGAAATGGCAGCATAAATCTTTAAAAAGATCATATAAGTATATTTTTTTTTAATATATAAAAAATTTATTAGCACAAAAACTATTATAATAACATAGCATTTTTCTTTGCATTTACCTTTATTAATATTAACTTATAATAATTGGTTCATCATCTAATTTATGCAATTTTTATTAATCATATTAAGTTTATCATATACAAACTTTGAAATTATGAAAAACAATAATCAATAATAAATCATACTGAAAAAAACACATTTATTTCTATTAGCGTTAGCAAACACGTTTATTTAGAGACTTTTTTTGATACGTATGTTATGTGTAATATTTGAATAGTGTTGGGTGAAAAAGAGTATCTTGACAAAAAAGTTTTTTTTTTTTTTATAAGGCAGGCATACTAGCTAAAATAAATTCGACTACGAAATAACTAGTTTATAAAACTATGGATAACGAGACGGATTGGAATTGATCCGAGGATTTTGCCCAAACTATACTATATATACAGTATGTCATTATTATTCTAACACCTAACCATAACTCTAAGCTGCAAAAATAATTACAAATTTCCAACATCCGAGCCGATTCTGAATCGGGACGATTCCAA